ATCTTATCTTATCTTATCTTATCTTATAAAACCTATTTAAAACCATGATGAATCAGGCCAAAAACTATTGGAAACCATAAATCCACTTGTGCAATATTCATTCTGCTAAAAATAACTGGAGCAATTGTATTATTTAGTATTTTGTCACCGGGCAGACCATGATGGTACCATTAATAAATGTTAAGAAACCTCAAGTTTTTACGTCCAAAAGTTATTTATGTTTTCTTACCTGACTGAAAAGTCTTGTTATTGAATGTATGTTCTTTCAAAAAATTATCCAAACATTTTGTCACCATATATATTATATAAAACAATGAGAAATTAAATTTGAATTCAGTTGGATCATATTCATTCAAAATCACGTAAAAAACCTTTCAACACACTTTACAACAAATTTAGATATCTGCTTTGACTAGCTTTAAAAAAATAAAAAATCTTTCCCTTTATTTTTCCTTTTTGTTGTAATGTATTTGCAACAATCCCATTTTGTACAGTTTGTTTACTTTCTGATTCAACTGATTAACGTTTGAACTGTGTTTGTTGAATATGATAGTAGTTTCCATGAGATTTTAGCCAAGATTCTTTCTTTTGATACCAAACATGTCCAGGTTCAACTGACACATCTTAAGTTAAAAGAAGTTAAAAGAAATAGAAAACGAAAAAAAAAAAAAAAACGTTTTCACCCCAGGTACCGGTGGCATGGGGCTCAAGAGGTTAGGGAAGAAAAAAATGTGCCAAATATATAGAGTTTTTGTTATTACAATATTTCATTGTTTGTTTGTTTGTTTTGCTGTAAACAGACCTGTTAATATGTGAAATCACATGTAAACTAGGATATCCCTCGTCAGCTATATTACATAACGACAACAATGAAACAATGAAAGAAAATATCCAGTAAATGTGATCTGCCTAAACGAAAAACAAGCATTGATGAAAATCTGATATCAACAGGAATTTTTGCAAAAGRTTTTTTGTGGAAAAATCCATGGACCCCCACCCCCACCCCCCACCCCCCCAAAAAATTTTTTTCTGATGCCCATTATATCTGGTGAGCTGTAATTCTTATTGCATTGTACTTGGATTGATTGATAAAGTTATAGATTTCTGAACATTTGCCGCTGGCCGTGCATCATTTTTATTTTATCGTGAAAATCTGTTGCGTGGGTTGAGGTTCACGGTCCCAAACACAGTCCTAAACTTAACAAAAAAACATATATAAATAAATAAACTAGTATTTCCTGCAAACTTGGATAGACAGCATACGATGGCGTGTTTACTTGTTGCAGTTACACATGTTGTGTCACTGTAAAAGATTTTTCACAATCACACGCTGACCTTCTTTTCACAGAGCATTAGAGAGCTAAGTAAGTGTAAATCCTCAGCAGCCCAGTTTGAACTTTCTACTGATTCTTCTCTCTTCGAGCTGCCTCTGCATTTAGTGTTAGATGACTTATTTAAAGTTTAATGTCTTATAATAATTTTGATGTTTTTGGTATGTATTTACCCTCAGATTTGTTGAGTAAAATATGCAGAAAAACATGCTTTGTTTATATTGAGTGCATACCTGCATTTCAGAAACACATCTGGAAAACTAAACACTTGCAAACTGTGCCATTTCAAGCAGTTTGGGATAACTGGTTGTATTTTTGGTTTCATAGTTTGCCATGAATAATCAGCTCTAAAATGATTACATAACGCTCATTTGTTGTTAGAGCTGTGGGTGATCAGAAGAAACTGAGCCCAGCTGTACTTAATACTGATGTGTGAAAAATGAAACAAATGGGGTCTAGACCTAAACAACTAAACAGTTTTGGAAGCTTTTACAAAATCTGGAGTACCATGCTGACATTCTCACAGTAAAATCCAAAGCCCTCCGAGAGGTTTGAACCCTAACTTTATTTGATCAGTTTGACTCCTTCTACAACATTTGAACCAACCCGTCACTCTCGCCCTACACTCTTGTATTGACGGAGCCCTTCTTGTCCTGCAGGGGCGTGGTGAGAGTGGACGTTAATCTGCAGGATGTTGATATCGACCAGTGCTCCTCCGACGGCTGGTTTGCAGGAACCCATCGATGCAACCTGACCACTATGGAGGTGAGTGCGCCGGACATGTGGCTCAGACAGAGATTGATCCTCTCTGCAAAAGTGAACCGTAATGGACATCCAATCGGTTGCACCCCCCCCCCCCACACACACACACCCCAGACTCCCCTTGAAGCACTCACAGAAAGGCAATAAATCTGCATGTCTTGTGACAAAACAGATGGCGATCTGATTATTTCTCAGAGCTACTAACAGAGCCATCTTTTAGATTTACGAGCGTGTTTCCCATGCATGCTTTACAGAAGTTGTCATATATCAATCAAGCTCCAGCCTTTAATAGTAAATTATATTTTTGATATTAGTTGATATTTATCCTTATAATACAAATTCAGAAACTGCAGTAAGGACATTTCGATCCTTTGTGATGTTTTTTTAAAGGCAGCTGCGTCCCATCTCAGTTGTTTCCTCTCTCAAGGCTGTGTTGTCATGAAATATGATGTGTTTGTCTGTTGACACTGAATGCACCGCTTTGCGTGAAACCAGGCTTGACAGATGGGCCAAGWACTTTTGTCCTCATTAAGCAGCAGACAAGACGTAAACTGTTCAGGCTTGCTTCGAGTGTTTCAGGGGCTCTTTCCAGGGTCAAAAACACAGATTTAAGTTAAAATATTTAAGTGACAAGAATTGAGATGGGAGGTTAGAAGACGTGTAGTTTGCTGGTGCGGAGAAAAGAAGCCATCATTCAGTTTCTTTCCATTTAACGCATAGGTTCGGTGAGGCATGTCGCTCTTTGACAGGATGATAAAACTTAGGGATGCATCACACGGCAGGATAATTGTGCCGAATTCTGGCCCTTTTGACAATCTTAAAGTGTATCTTACCACCCCCCCCCACCCTCGTGAAAAGATAACTCCGCCCCAAGGTAAAATTTGAAAAATGCATTAAAGTGGGTAGGGGAGGGGGGGTCAGAGAGCGGAGGTGTGGCCAGAACGAGAGAACGTGACAGCCTCGGCTGAGCTGTCCGCCTCACACCACACCAGCACTGGACAGAGGAGGTGGAGCGCTCCGCGACAGCCTGACATAAAAAAATAAAAGCATACAGCTGCAGCTGCTCACAAGATTGCTAGTTTAAATCAGGAATAAAAGGGTTGGGTCTTGTTTTTGACTGAAGTTCAGTCCATTAGGGCTGCAGCTGCCC